AGGAGAGGGAAGCTGAAACTTGGGAAATGCACTTGTTAACTAACGGTACTTATCTAGAGGATTTGGACCAGGGGACACCTTAATTTTTGCTCTTCCCTAACCAGCCTCACAAGCCTGTGTTAGCGGGAGCTCCATCAGCCAGGGAGGGGGTCCATGGCTGACATTCCACCACTGGGTGCTGGATGCTGCAATGGCAACAAGAACAACATCACCATCATGGTCTATGTGGACTGCAACAGCCTGAGCCCTTGCTTGCCTGGCAAGACCTTTGTGCTGCAAGTAAGCATGCAGCCCAGCTCTGAAAGAAAATGCTTCTTTCTAACACTGTTTCATGTGAGAACTTGCAGCCTCAGCTCCCGCAGATGAGAGCTGAGAGCAGCTGAGAGCTACAGTGTTGCCTAAACATCATCCCAAAACTCTTGTCACCCTGGGAGGCCAGGCCTTTATACCCTCCTGCGAGAGGATCCATACCATGGGGTGCTGACCCACACTGGTGGTGGCACTTCGAGGTTGTCCTCTAACATCCTCTCTCCTTTCAGAAGCACTGCTGTTAGTGTCCCACAAGGAGATGTCCCATGCCTGCTGTGCACATGCAGGGGTCTCAGCACCAGGTCTCCAGCGCTGGCCCATCCCCTGTTTGCACAACAGCTGTTCCTACAAATAAAACCTCTGTAAGGTTTTGAGCAGAGGAACTTGCGGTAGCAGCTGGAACTCCTGTGAGCAACATTTCAGATATGGTGCACACAGAGGTTCAGGGGTGCAGCACTGTTTACACTGTGCAGACATTTCCACCGTTTCTCTGCAGCTATCCAATATAAAACACTCAAAATGGAAGCTGTGACTGACACTGGTGTGTGCATTAGCAGAGAGCAAGCGGTAGGCTGCTGAGCTCTGCTGGACTGGGTGGAGAGAGCTGGCATCTCCACACCACATTACCCACTGCAAAGATCCTGATTGTGGGTGCAGCCCCCATCTATTGGGGTGCCCAGGCAAGCACTACCTGGAGATAGCTGGCTGGGAGCTCAGAGGGCCAGAACTGCTTCTTCCTCTGCATCCAGGAAGGGCTTTCCCTTCCCTGCAGCCAAGGCTTGCTGACAGCTGCAGGGAAGTGCTTCCCCCTGCTGCAACTCTAGCAGCTGCTGCTCTCTGCCAGCCACTGCTGCCCAAACGCTTGCTGTTCACCACCCGTGATGCCTGCAGCTTAGCCAACTGCATATCCCGCTGAGCTCACTGCTCTTTGGAGGTGGAAAAAAACTGAAAGCCATGAAATGAAAGTCTCATCTGAGTCCAGCACCAGGAGCTGGCGGTAGGGTGCTTTCCTCTGAACACTCCTCATCACAGCTCCCTGCTGTGCAGGAGGTTTTGGACTGATACTGCTGCTCACCATCCTGCCTTTCTCACTCCTGCCCTTCCCCTGCATCCCCCTGATGGCTGATGTGGCAGAGGATGAGAAAGATGGAGTCCTTGACTACTTGTGTGTAACATTTTGCTCATTTGGAGGTTTTTGTGTCTTAGGAAACAACACTGCTTTTAAGAGCTGCAGCAAGCTAGCAAGTGCTTTGGGGCAGACAGTACAAAATCATCTGTTCCCATAACAAGAAAATCATCTGTTCCCATAACAAGAACCATGCTACCACTATGGCCCTTGTTCATGCTGGTGCTGCAGCACCCGTCATTGTGAGGTGCTGGAGGGTTGCTCAGATCGTGCCTTGGTGCTGCACAATGGGCTGTTTCTCGCTGCATCTGTTTCCTATTGAGATCAGCTCTCAGAAGCTGAACAGCGTGCCGTGCTTGGAACATCACATCCAGGAGCACTGGAGGTGATGAAAGCAGGCTGAGCTGGAAGCCCCTGTCCCACAGGGTCTGCTTTTCATGATCCTGTAACTTGCTAAGGCAGCCTCTGTCCTGACAGCTCCTAGCCTGCACTGAGCCAAAACATTCACTGTGGGCTCCTAGATCAGGGTTCCTACTTCTGTATCACAGTTTAAGTTCTTGGGGAGGGATCTGTTGCCAGAGGGTCAGTTTTCAGTGTTTGTCCCCATGACTTCCCTCTCCCCAGAGCCATGCCTGCTCCCTGTTGCTGCAGGGCTTTAGCAGTGTGGGGGTGCACACGTTGTACCCGCTCCACTTTGGTGCCTACTGTATCTGTGCTGGGGAGACAGATAGATTAAGCCATTTAGAACCCCAGTGGGATCAACCCCAAGGAGCTAGAAGGCTATGAGAAGGTAAGTTGAGCCCAGCCTGTTTTCTCAGCACAGAGTGATGATTGGTACAAGCAAAGGTACAGACTGCCCATGCCATGTGCTCACAGCAGGCCCAGTGTCACCTGGGGACCTGCACTACTGTGTGCAAGTGACAGCAGCCCAGCTATAACTTCACTTTGGGCACTCCACAGCCCAGGGAGGTATCTCATCATTTCACTGACAACTCACTCACTGTGCCAGAGGAACAGAAAGTGAGGAAGAGGTGGCAGGTCACGTAACTGAGGGGAAGAGGAGAGCCAAGCCTTTCCCTTTGATGACAGGAGCAAGGATCACTGAGTGACCTTGGCTGGCTCTTCTGGCATCCTCAGTCTTTCTTTTAGCAGATCCTTTCCTTAGGGCAGAGAACATGATATCCTTGAAGGTACTGGGAGTCACTCTGTCGACTGACACTGAAAATTGGGGACTGCAGATAAGAGTGAGCAAAGCAGGGAGCTGCTACAGAAACAAGCTTCTACCCTTTGCTGAGAGCTCCAGGGAACTTAATGGACAGGGCATGCTGGAACCTGGGACTCTGACACAGCCAAGGTCTTTTGCAGCTTGAGCCATTAATCATTCTGTGCAAAATATGAGGTCCGAGCATCTGCTGCCCCACAACAACTCAAGTGAGGAGGCAAGCACTCAGACCCTTGCCCCTAGGAGTGACCTGATGGGAGGATAATGGCAGCGGGGAACGAGCCTGTCCCTGTTTTTTTCTTTCGTTTCTTCTTTTCCTGTCTGCTCTGCTTGAGCTCTCCAATCATTGGAGAGCTCTCCAATCATCGAAGCCACCAACAGCTCCACTACACCAGAAGCACATGACAAATTCCTGTGAAGAGATATACTTGTCATCCAGTATGTCCATCTCCAAACACATAGGGGGATGGCAGGCTTGTGGCTCTTAGGGCCACATGGTGCTGTCAGCTGCACTGATGTGGATCCAGCCTGGCTCTGACAGGCTCTGACAGCAGGCAACATTAATGGTGCTGTTTCAGTTGTTTCCTAACTTACTCCAGCTCCTGAGCAAATCCTAGGAGCTCAGCTTGCTGCTTTGCCTTCTGAACCCTCCCAGTTTTTGTCTGTAGGCAGTGGCAGACCACAGGGCTTGCAGCCGTCATCAGTCTGTCCTGCAGTTGCTGATGGGCCAACAGCAAACCATGTCACATTGCATGGAGCATCACAGCAGCTGGTGTTCTGTCAGAGCCACTGCAGTTCTAGGATTTAGCTTTCCCAGCAACCTCAGGACTGTCCCTGAGGGCAGGCATGGCCCAAGGCTGATGAGAAGACTCCCAGATCAGTTGTGGGTCTCAGGGTTATTCTAAGCAGCAAATCTAGAGCGTGTACTGCCTGTGGCAGGACATCTGTGTGAATGCAGGTGGGGTGACTGTATCCCTCTTTGAGTGGCTGAAGAACCTGAACAACATTAGCTATAGCTGCCTCACTTCGAGCAGGAGTCCAGCTACTGCCTCCTGCAGTCATTGCAGCATGGCCTGGAGCAGTGCTTTGACAAAGCCTACTGTGGTATAATCCCTTCTGTCCCATTGCCCGAGTTGTAGGCTTGTGTGGCTGTAAATGCTCCTACCACAGTGGCCCTGTTCATCCAGCAAGGGCAGTCTGTGGGACAGCTGGGTGTTTGCAGTGTCACATTGCTGTGAGTGAGCTTGGAGTGGGCCAAGGCAGTGCCTGGCTGGGACAGGGCATGTGGGGCTGTGTTTCTCTTGCAGACTCAGTGAGTGCCGCCAGGCCAGTTGAGTGTGCCAGAGGCTAGTCATTGAGTAGTCCCAGCCTGGCTCTGGGGACACAGCCCAGCTGGCTCAGGGGGTGCCACCAGCCTCCCACACCAACCTGCAGAGTCTGTCACGCTTTCAGCCACTGCCCACATCCACTTCCACTCTGAAAGCTGCACTCCCAGCTTTGCTTAGGGAGCCAGCCCTGCCAGTGTTAGGGAGAGCCCATTTGCACCATTTAATGACGTGTCCAGCAGTGCCCAGTGGGTGCTGCAGGTGCTGCTGCAGCTGGTGCAGACACAGGGAGCAGAGCCAGGAATTTGCAGGCATCAGCAAACCTGTTGTGTGTCCGTGCTGACTGCTGCAAGCTTCAGTTCACCAGTAAATTTGGCAAGGGAGTACAGTAGGGGAAGGCTCTGCACAACCTCTCTACTCTGTGCTGCCGCCAAGGGGCTGCAGACAGGCTGGGGACCCAGGCTGGGTTGGGGCCCTCATGGTGGTCACATTGCAGCTGGAACACACATGTATCTGCCACGTCCTCAGTGCCCCAAGGGGAGCAGGGAAGCATAGGAAGGTGGAGACGGCAGGAGAGGTTCCCCTTTGCTCTATGTTTCTAGCACAAAGATCAAGGCACATCTTTAGGAGGCACCTCACATACAGCAGCACATCCTGCTGCTCTGGGCAGATATGAGCCTGCAGGAAGAGCACTGTGCCCAGTGCCTGAACCCCCTTTGCTAGCACAGCCTGTGTCTGCTGGCAGCAGCAGGGGCAGAGCTGGGAGGGAACCAGGGCTCGAGGCCAGGACTGTGTCCATCCTCCTCCTGCCACAGGGTCCTTGGCCCCAGAGGGTCCCCTCCTTTTGCCTGCAGACTGCAGAGTCATGCAGACAGGTGGCACAGGGACACTGCCTTTGTCCCCAGCTCAGAGTGTGCTACCTGCTGCCACAACAGCAGCAAGCAGACAGGAGAGTTTGGTCTCCACGAGGACCTGCTCTCACCCCAGCCCCACACTCTTTCTCCCTCAAACCCGCACCCACCACCAAAGCGGGGAACAGACCAAGGGACCCCACAACCAGCACCAGGGGGCTACAGACAAGAGTTGGCTTTATTCATGGACACGGTGGCAGCTGTGTCACTGGCAGCTGCACTCGTATTGCACATCCAGCAACGAGGGCGGGGGGATATCCATGCCACGTCACAACACAGCGTCAGCACTACAGGACCTCGGGGAGGGTGCAGGCACCGTCTCCACCCAGCAGGCTGGGGAGCGGGCTTGGACACCGAGGGCTCACAAAGGCAAAAGACCCGTCCACCCATAGATAGAGATAGATATATTAAAAAAAAAAAAAAACCTAAAAAAAAAAAACCCAAAAACAGTTCCACGATGACCAGAGCAGAACCACAGGGACACGCATGCAAGCAAAATGTACAGCAGCCCGCGCGCAGGTAAACATGCTTTGTACACACACAGACACACCGGGACGCAGCCGGGGCTTACGGCGCTGGGAGGGAGACAGAGCTGTAAGCCCGGGCACCACAGACACTCGCACGCACACACACACAGCAGCCCCTGCGGGCAGTGCCCACGGCTTGGGCACACGCTGAGGCTGCAGGGCTCGGACACAGCGGGTTCTCACTGCTAGACACGGTACGGAGACATGGACATGGTCCCTTGGAACGGAACTGGAGGAAGAACTTGTGAGCGAACGGGGCAGGGGCAACCCTGCTCCTCCCCGGCACGTGGGCACTGGCTGGGGCCAGCTGGGGAGGAGCAGGGGGCTACCGGCGGTTCGTTGTGCTGCTGGTGGAAGAGGCAAGGACAGGGTTCCATTATGCCTCTGGCTCGTATTCCTGGTATTCCTCCTGCGAGACAGGAAAAGAAAGAGCAGTGAGAAGGCTCAGCTGGGACAGTCCCTGTGTCCTCCAGCATCACACCTGCCTGATCTCCAGGCTCCCTGCTCTGGGTGCTGGAGAGCTGGCAGGCTCTTGGCTCCACTCCTGACAGTGATGCCACCAAGGTGCTGAGCACAGCCTGCATCCCCTTCAGTGCCATCCTTTCCCCTCACCTGTGGGGACTCCTCGTAGCTCTCCCCCTCCGGCTCCAGCAGCGGCTCAACCAGCGGCTCTTCCACAGCCTCCTGTGCCACCTCCTCGGCCTGGGGGTGAAGCAGGTGGTCAGTTCCACGCATGCATCCCTCAAACGTCACCCTCCTGGGGAGGGGGCTACCGGGGGGACCTGGCAGGAACCAGCCACACGCCCACACGGGGTGGGATGGAGCCAGGACAGAATGATACGGGGCGAAGTGGGGGTGCTGGCAGGGCACCCGGTGCTCACAGCAGCACACCGAGCTGGGAAGGGACAGGAAAGCAAATGTGGAAGTGCTCATCCTTGCAATGCTCATCCCCAGGCAGGTGACACGTGCTGGCGCCTTGAGCCCCCCTCGAGCTGTCGGAGCATCCCGCATCCCGGGCGGGGCGGGTAACCCCTCCCCAGGGCCGGGCAGAGCGGCTGGAGGAGGACGGCCGGTCCCCCCGCGCGGCGGCGGTGCGTGCCGTGGCCTCATTTCTTCAGCTGCTGCTATTTTGGGCTAAGCTGGAAGCGAGCGGAACCCGCCGCCCCTCCCGCCCCAGCGCTCCCGCAGCTGTCAGGTCACCTCGCGGCGCAACGCGGCGATGCCGCCCCGCCGGCCCCGCGCCGCCATGCGGGGATCCACGCACGCACACGTCCGCAGCAGCCGCGCACGCAGCCGCCACGCGGGGGACCCTCCGTCCGTCCCCCCCGCCCCGGCCCAGGGCACGCTCAGATGGGGACCCTCCGGCAGCGCGCCGGGTGTCACCGGGGGGTCCCCGCGGAGAGAGGGGCGGTGCAGCGGTGTGCGGAGAGGGGTGGGAATCACCTTCAGGTCCGCGGGGAACTCCTCCTTCTTCACCAGCCCCGTGGCCGCCGCGATGTTGCCGGCGCCCGAGAACGCCGCTTCGCCCAGCTGGGACGCCTGCTCCTTCGCCTTCTCGGCCACTGCGGGAGCCGGGGGTGCGTGTCAGTGCCCCCCGAGCCAGGGAGAGGGGCCGGGGGGGCTGATGGCGAGTCAGGTGCAGGACCGGGCTCCCAACCTCCCTCCCCCCCTCCGTGCCCGGGGCCGCGGCTCTGCAGCTGGGCACGGAGTGCGGGCGGCGCCGCAAATCCTGTGTTGCGGGCCCCGTTATGTAAGTGGCTTTAGCCGGGTGACATCAGCCCCTCGCTTAGCCCCGACCCGGTTAGCACGGCCGCGCTCCCGGGGGCAGGAAGGACCGTACCTGAGGTGACTCCTTGCACCACGCCTTGGGTTTTGCTCCCTGGGGGTAGAAAAAAAAAAGAGAGAGACGGGGGTCAGTGCACCCCGCGCTGAGCAGCCCCCGATTCCCCGCAGCCCACGGGAGGGCTTGGGAGGGCTGCCGGATACCGGCGGGTCCCTCCTGCGGGACGGGGGCTGTGCTGCTGCACGGGGCGGCCCGGAGATGCGGACAGCTCTTCTGCGGCACGGGGCCCCCGGGCACCCCAGGGCCCCCGCCTGGGGCAGCGCCCCGGACACGGCGAGCCCCGCTCGGCACCGCTCCACCCCTCGCCCAGTGGGATGGAGCAGCACCCAGTTCCGAGCAGCCCGAAGCCGCAGCCCGGCTGCACCATTCACCCATGTGTACTCCGGGGCACGAATTCTCCCGGGAGGGACAAACGGATCCCCGGCATTTCCGCTCCAAGCCGGGCACATCTCAGCGCATCCCACCGAGGCTCCCCGCAAGCGGTGCCCGAGCATCGCCGCAGCCCCGCGGCGCCTCCGCTGAGTCCCGGAGCGTCCTCGGCGTAGAGCCGCGGGGGTCCCAGCCGCGGGGTCCCACCCCTCTGCTCCCCCTCCGCCCCATCCCCGCCGGCAGAGCGCTGCGGACGGAGCTCCCCGGTGCTGCCGGGGACGGGTGGCGAGAGCCGGGGGTACGGGGACAGGTGGGGACAGCAGGGGGATGGGCGGGAAGATGCAAGGGCAAATGCGGGAGGACGCAAGGACGGGAGGGGGGGGGACACGCAGGCCGGGTCGGCCCTTACCGACATAGAGGACCCCTTCCTTAGTCTTCTCGGCGGCCTCAGCCACCCCCTGCTTGGTCTTCTCGGCGGCGGCGACCACCCCCTCCTTGGCCTTGGACAAGCCCTTCATGAACACCTCCATGGCGGCTCTGCGGGGAGAGGCCGCACGGCTTCACCCCGGCCCGGCGCCCGCCCGCCTCGCGCATCCCCGCGCCCTTGATACCCGCCCCGCCCCGCACCGCCGCCCCCCGACCCCGCACCGCCCCGCTCCCGCCGCGCTGCCCGACCTGGCTCGGTGGCGGGCACACGGGCACGCGGGCACACGGGGACGGGCGGGGCGCGGCGCGGGCCGGGCCGAGCCGGGCCGGGCTGCGGCGGGGCGGGCTCAGTGCGGCTGTGCCGGAGCCGCGCTGCGCTGCGCTGCGCCGTGATGCGCCGTGATGCGCGGGGGGGACCGCGCCGTGCGAGCTGAGCCGTGCTGGGCAGCCGTGCACGGCTGAACCGTGACGTGCTGAACCGTGCTGAACCGTGCCAAGCCGAGCAGTGCCGAGCCGTGCCGAACCGAGCCGAGCCGAGCCGAACCGTGCCGTGCCGTGCCGTGCCGAACCGAGTCGTACCGGGCCGAACCGGACCGTGTACGGGGATGTACTGCCCCCGTGTGGTGAGGTACAAGGGTGGCCAAGCACGGCTCTGCCCGATCTTGGCATGGCTTTCCTCGGAATAGTTCAGAACATCACGTTTTGGCAAGTCATGACTTGGCTCAGCTCCACACGGCTCGGCGTGACTCAGCCCGGCCCAGCACACTACGGTATGCCATGGAACGGCTCGTGTTGGCTCGGCACATCTTGGCAAGGCTCAGTTTGGCTCAGCTTGGTTTGGCATGGTTTGGCACAGAATGGCTCTGTGCAGTTGAACATTTGGCATGGCACGGCTCAGCTCAGCACAGTTCAGCCTGCTTTGCAATGCTTTGGCACAGCTTGCAAAGCATGCTGCACACTTGGCAGATTTCAGCACAGCTCCTCATGCTCAGCATGCTTCAGCATGGCTTGGCTTGACACGGTTCAGCACATCTCAGTTCTGCACATTTTGGCATGGCTTGGCATGGTTTGACACAATTCAGCACAGTTTGGCATGGCTTGACACAGCTCAGTACTGCATGGCATAATTAGGCATGGTTTGGCTTGGCACAGCTTGGCATGGCTTGGCATGGATCAACACAATTTGGCACAGTTTGGCTTGGCTCATTTTGCCAAGGTTTGGCACAGCTTGTGACACTCAGCATGGTTAGATATGGCTCGGCTCGACACAATTCAGAACAGTTTGGCAGAATTGAACACAGCTTGGCATGTTTTGGCACAGTTCATCATGGTTCAGCTTGGCACAGTTTGACACATTTTGGCACATTTCTGCATGGCTCAACACAGTCTGGCTCAGCACAGCATGGCACAGTTTGGCACAGCTTGGCACAGCTCAGCACAGCTCATCATGGCTCAGCACAGCTTGGCACAGTTCAGTACAATTGGGCACGTTTTGATATAACTCAACATGGTTCAGCACAGTTTGGCATGGTTCAGCACAGTTCAGTATGCTTCAGCACTGTTCAGCTTGGCTTGGCCCTGCACCTTTTTGCATGTCTTCGGCATGGTTTGGTACAGCGCCTTTCAGCATGGCTTGGCACAGCTTGGTACTGCATGGCTCAGTGCAGTCTGGCTCAACATGGTTCAGCATGGCTCAGCTCTGCATGTTTCAGCAGGGCCAGCACAACTGGACACAGGTGGGCACAGTTTGGCACAGCTTGACACAGCTGGTCAAGATTTGGATCAACATAGCTCGGCTCAGTTTGGCATGCTTCAGCACGGCCCGGCACTGTTGGATATGGCTCCACACAGCGTGGTACGGCTTGGCACGGCTTGGCATGGTTTAGCACTGCTCTGCTTGGGGTGGTTTGGCATGGCTAGGCTTGACACTGCTCAGCACAGCTTGGAACGGGACATTTAAATACAGCTCAGCTCAGCATGACTCAGCACAGTTAGGCACAGATTGGCACGATTCTGCATGGCTCAGCTCTGCACATTTTGGCATAGCTCAGCACAGTTTGGTACAATCTGGCATGCTTTGGCATGGCTAGACACATCTGGGCACAGCTTGGCTTGGAAAGTCTCAGAGCAGTTTGTCATACCGTGCTGCACTTTAGCACAACACAGCACAGCTTGGTACAGTTTGGCACTTTACAGCTCTGCACATTTTGGCATGGCTCAGCATGGTTTGGCATAGTTTGACCTGGTCCACTTGCATGGTTCAGCAGGGCTCAGCTCATCATGGTTTGACATGGCACAGTTCTGCACATTTCAGCATGGCTTGGCACAGTTTGGCACGGTTGGGCATGTCTTGGCATGGTCTGGCACAGTTTGGCAGATTTCAGCACAGCTCCTCATGCTCGGCATGCTTCAGCATGGCTTGGCTTGACACAGTTCAGCACATCTCAGTTCTGCACATTTTGGCATGGCTTGGCATGGTTTGACACAATTCAGCACAGTTTGGCATGGCTTGACACAGCTCAGCACTGCATGGCACCATTAAGCATGATTTGGCTTGGCACAGCTTGGCATGGCTTGGCATGGCTTAGCACAATTTGGCACAGTTTGGCTTGGCTCATTTTATCAAGGTTTGGCACAGCTTAGCAAGGTTTGGCATTGTGTGGCATGGCTTGGCATGATACGGCTCAGTACAGCTCACCTCCTCATGGCATGGTGCATTTTGTTACAGTTTGGCACAGCAGCTTTCAGCACAGCTCAGCACAGACCCAGCCTCTCTCTACCATTTCCTTACTCCTGATCCTATCCCTTGCCCCACTGCACCCTGTTCCCATCCCATGCCATCCCTGTCCCATATTCCAGCCTATCCCTCTGCTATCCCTCTCCACCAAACCAATCAACACATTCTGGTCCGGTTCTGTCCCATTACATCCCCACTTCCTGCCCCTGCCCTGCCCCCTCCCTACAGGCTCCACACCCTCTCCCCAGCTGCAGCAGGGCCTTTATCCCACCCACCTGAAAGCCCTTAAAAGCACAGGGTGGGAATAGGACTGTGTTGGTTGGGATGGCTTCAGGGGAGCAGGTGGGTGCTCTCTTGATCCCACAGTTTCTATGAGACTGGGGTGGGCAGTGGGCACTTGGCAGTTTTGACTTGTGGGGCTGTGCCCCTATTGGGGTGGCTGTGCTGTTTCCCCAGAGGAGACAGGAGGAGCGGCGCAGGCGCAGGGCTCAGCAGCAGGAGCTGCAGGTGGCAGAGAGCCTGGGCAAGCACCCACTGCACAACAGGTATGTGGTACTTGCTGTGGGAAGCATCCTAGCACCAGATGGGTGTCTGGAATGGGGTCCAGCCCAGCTGACAGCCCTGTTGTCCTTCAGGTGGGCCCTGTGGTTCTTCAAGAATGACAAGAGCAAGATGTGGCAGGCCAACCTGCGCCTGGTCACCAAGTTCAGCACGGTGGAGGACTTCTGGG